TATATATATATACTTGGTAATAAAATTGTCTTGGGAAAATAAAATAAAATCGCAGATTGTTAGAAACGATTTCCTCATGTGACCGGAAATCGGGTTCACCACGATCTCACATTTGTTTGTCCACTCATCCGATCATCAGGTTTACTCCTGATACAGTATGTGTGGGGGGTGGTCCACGGAAGTTTTAGTGCTTGCACAAATTGTTTTTGAGCACGCAGAGGGTGTGGTGCAGATGAATATCCACCGCTTCTGCTGTGGCCAGCATCCGTCAGCGAACCTGCCTAGATAATCGCCCATGAAATTCACACATGGGACGGAAAGCCTCGGACACGTCCACAGTGTGATCTGTTTCAGCTAGATGTGAAACTACTGCACAAGTGAGTGACTTAATCGTTCGATCTTCAGCCATGCGGGGTGGTGTTCACGATTCCGTTCGAACAATCACCTGACCGTGTGGCCTATGCACCTTGTTCCACAGAAGCAAGTAAATGAGTATACACAGAATGAGACTGCAGAATTTGAAACTTAGTCCCTCAGTCGCAAACACAATTGGCTTAGACGTGAACAACATACGAAGCTTAGATGCATAGAAAATCTTATCGATTGCGTCGGATAATCTTCTGTGTATGATCTTAGCTGATGCGTCCCTTTTGAACGGCAAAGAAATGTACACGGATTTTTTCTCAACATCGGTGTTATGTAAATATTTCTCCATACACTGAATCATTTTGTTGACTAAACGCTCCGGATATCCGTTACAAGCACAGACTTATTTTATAGTATGTAGCTCTTCTTCTAGCGTGTCCTCCCTGTAGATCTTTCTTGTCCTCTCCACGAGGCAACAAACCAGGTTACCTTTTACCTTGAGCGGCCCAACGCTTCGGAATTAGTGCAAACCCTCCTAAGCCCACACACACACCGTATCACGAGTAATCTCGATCATCAAATGAGTAGACAAACAAATACGTGACCGTGGTGAATCCGATTTCCGGTCTGATGAGGAAATCATATCTAGTAATCTGTGATTTTAATTTGTTTTCTCATAGTTTTGTTTCCAAGTTGCGATATATATATTGAAATATATTAGCATGAATACGAATCTCTGAAAATCGGCTTGTTCGTCACTTTTATTTTTTGGTTTGTTATGGAGAACGGGGTTTCGACAAATATACCGCACAACAATCGCGCTCTTGGCATCTATTCTGAGCCATATCTCTCAGCTTTTCTAACCATCGGCAATCCTCATCCTTTGGGCCCCAGCCTTGAAGACGAGATGCACCAACCAAAGCCAATGCTGAGGCTAATTTCTTTATACCTCTGCCACTTATGATCGCTTGACCGCCGCGGCGCTTCTTCCAACTTTGCCCAGCATGTGCAAAGAGAGCACAAAAGTTTAGACCTTTTTATTTTTATTACACACCTAAGTGTGATGAACAGCAGACGGGGCGAACCCCATAATCACGAGAACCTGGTGGAAACCGGCAACCTAAACCCTGGGACTTGGAGTGGACCCGAGAGGTCAGGTATGCGCAAAACACGACCGAGCCATCAGAGGCGGTGTAGAACAATTACTTCCGTTAAAGAATGACTATCAGTACCCAGTACCCAGTCATTGCTCACCCGATGTTCCCACCAGACACCAGCATGCTTCGAAGGTATCGATGGTCGAATACGGAAAGTTGATTAACATCTTGCGCTCAGAGAGGCCAGGTCTCAACCGTAAAGTAGAACGCTACGAACAGCGGCAGTGTACACCCTTCCT